TTTTTTTTTTTTTTTTTTTTTTTTTTTTTTTTTTTTTTTTTTTTTTTTTTTTTTGAGATTTAACCATGGTGCACTTTTTTTATGGAAGAACAAAAAAACCCTTGCTTAACTAGAGTTAACTTTTAACCATGGTAAGGTTTGTAATATGCTAAATTTGTTTAATCATTTATAATGTATTTTCTTCCATATAAAAGTGAGAGAAGGAAAAGGTAAAAGAAATTTTATTAATAAAAATTTAAAGTAGAAAATTCTTTTTTTTTTTTTTAATATTTATTAGAGAATCATGGAAACAATTTTTTTTTGTTATAATTATAATGCTAAATCCTACGTGTAATACATACTTTTTTTTATTATTATTATATTTTATTTTTCTTTTTAACTTTTAAGATTAAAATCTAAATGTCGTCATGCATGTAAGTATGTAAGTATGTAAATGCATACATGGATAAACACATAGTTCCATGTAAAAAAAAACACCGTTAGTTTGAGACTTGTTTGTCCTCGCTTATTTATTTATGAACATATTGAACAGAGACGTGTAGAGACTCGGTTTTTATCAAGGATAGATAGAGCTTAAGGTGACCAAATAAGAAGGTAAAATGAATTAAGAATTTTTGGGTAGAATAAACTTTTGGCTTCATTACCTAATTTTGAGCTTAATGTTTGAGCAGCAAATACAACACGACAATAATTTATCATATAAAAAGGAGAGAAATTTTTACTACATTTATGATAGATTCAGAAACGTACATATAACGTTCAAATTGCAAACAATCATGATTAGTTGAGACGTTACAATACTTATAAGATTCGAACCAAATTTAGAGAGGTATAAGGGAAAAGAATAAACATTAAAACGGTTCTAATTATTGTATAGAAAAGGCGTTAGATTACGCGCTCAACCATAGGTGACCTTGTTACGTGACTAAAGTAATTTATCATATAAAAAGAGGAGAAATATTTATTACATTTCAAAAAAACGTACATATAACGCTTAAATTGTAAATAATCATGATTGGTCGAGCATTATAATACGTACAAAATTCGAACCAAATTTAGAGAAGTATAAGGGGAAAGAATAAACATCATGCTTCATTTTAACTTCGGAACGGCCAATTCTTACTAATTTAAATAATAAAACAATTGCTAATCATTGTATGGAGAAGGCGTTAGATTACGCGTTCAACCATAGGTGACTTTGTTATGGACGAGGTCTAATGGATAAAAAGATCTCATAAATATCTATAAATAACTTATAAAAATTTAAATAGGAACTCTTAGTGAACATCATTCTAGCAACAATTGTATGTTGTCAATGTTACCATAGAAGAATGTAACTTGATTTTGCTTCCAAGCAGCTTCCTCCTCCAAAAAAATGCGATGTTATCAACAAAAGTCAAAAGGTTTTACAAAAAAGAAACTTCCATGGAAGAAAGCAACCTGATTTTGCCTGCCTCAGCCTTGTCCTTTGGTTAGTTCACAAAAAAAAAACTGCACCCAAATAAAACTTCATGTAATACAACGAGTTGTGGCCAAAAAGAAAGAACTTACTCACATATGCTTGTTTTTACATACCTTTCTAAACATCAGATACAAAATGCACTTCATTTGTTTTTCGCTATTATATCGTTATTGGAGTGTGTAATTGTCCAGACCCAAGATATAAATAAAAAATTTGAATTCAACACGTAGCTCTAACATTTTTCTACATGCAATAAAGATTGTCCTTATAGACTAGTATGGGTCCTCTTATTCTGTCTTGATTCGTCCCTAAAACTCCATCATAATGGAGAGATTTCTCTCTAATACGATCTATAATACTCAACGCCCACGATTCTAAGTAGGATTCAGAGTCTAGATTTTGACTAGTTTAATGGCATACATATAGTATCAAAGATGAACAAATTTTGAATTGAATTTTGAGCTTGGAGAGTTACATATGCATACATGATGAGAAATGTGCAAAGTAATCAACATTTATCTGGTCTATGTTTAGTTTGTGCATTTGTGAAGTGTACAAATTGGTGAATAGCCTACGACCCCTGAGATAATATAGTTCATGAGGTTAAGAAATTCATAATAATGATAACATAAGCCCACATATCGTATCGAATTAATTCCATATGTCGTGAAGAAATGCAAGTTACACGAGATCCCACGGTCATCAATCACACAGGGAGCTCAACATGCAGCATGCACCAAGTATTACAATGATCAATTTTCAGTCTACAACAAACATGTCACAAATCAAACAGTGTATAACACTTGCATCCAACGAAGCCCATAACAAAATTAATGTAAAATCGCACCTTTTTCTTCCTATTTGTTGCTGTTAATCATAAGAGACAAAGTAGAAGAAGCCAGATTGAGATAGATAAAAATCTAAGGCACGTACCAGTAAGTGGAAGGTATGAGGTGATTGCAGTAGGAGAAGGCCCCTTCCTATTGATGTAGGGTAAAGGTAAGGAAGTATTAAAGGTGAGAGCCAATTGAGATTCCCCACCTTGAATTATTGTGCGATGCACTTTCTTTTTGCCATATATTGATACTTCACATATCACCAAAGTAAGCAGCTAAGCAAACTTTTGAGAAATGAAGATTTATTGCCAACTGCAATGAGAAGCAGGCAATGTCCTCCAGCCACAAATCAATCTATACAAGGACCCTCTTTCCTGTTCTTTCTTGGTTTCCCATTACAAGGCCAAGCGACTTTTAATTCTCTTAGCATTGATGAATCAAAAGCCTTATCCGATATTCAATAACATGACTAAGTTCCTAGCAAAAAAAACCAAAAAAACTACAACTACGACCTCATATAGTAAAAAACAGGGTGACCAGAGATACCGAATTATGCAAAGGAACAAAGAAAATCCTGAAGAACTGTTCGTTTCAGAATAACAAACAAACAAGAGAACCAATAAGTCTTGTGAATGGCATTAAAGAACTGTTCTCAATTTTTCTATAAACACAGAGTTTTCCTTTTCAATATGGAGGCCCCAATTCAACAACGAAACTTCTAAAGCTATTTTCTTGATTATAGTCATAATAGCCCAAAGAACCTTAATTTGTTATTAAAAGACACCTTTCCGTTTTCAAAGGGAATGAGCAGCTTATTTTAAATCCAAACTACAGTCCATGTTCCCAATAAGCAGACAAGATTAATTGAAATCAGGAAAAAAAAGGATGTCAAAGTTAAATCAACAACAGAAATACTCATTGAAGAATATTGCCACTAGTGTGGAAAACTACAGCACAAAGTAAGTAAAAGATGCTCCACTCCACTTTTCCAGTCACTCCTTTAAAATTTTCCTGCAATCCTTCTATAATGGCCTGACATGGGAAACCTATGCCTTGGTATGGAAGAAAACTTGCTCATAATCTGAATCCTCATAGAAATAACTAACCTAATATCTCCTAATTACAACATTAAGAGGACAAGTCATTTTGCGAAGGAATCAATAGAACCATGCGATCAATCAAAGCTATGAAACGTAGAAATCGCTAATGTTCTTCATCGATTAACGAAGGAGAAAACTCGAATTATTTTTTCCACCCACCACATGAACATTCAATCCAATCCAATCCAATCCAATCAAATTCACCTTCTCATCCATTCAAAACTTTTCCAGAAACCGCTAAATTGAATGAAATTATGAAAACAGATGCAAATATTTTCGATTGGGAGTCATTGAACACAGATACCTTGCCGCCGAAAGGGATCGAAGAAACTACAACGGAGGTTGCTCTGTTAGTATCAATGGCGTTAGACTCCGTGAGAGCATTTGATTGGCCCTTACTTCCATAGACCACTTCTCAAAAGTTATTCTTTACCCACAAATCAAAATTGTAATTATTTGGTTATTTGTCTTTTATTTTTAAAAATTATTTTGGTAGTAATTTTTTATTTTATTATCATTTTTCTTTTAAAACTTCGTCAATCTCGGGATGCTTTACTCCTAATCCCACTAGGCTTCGAGATGGAGTTTGACCTAAGTCTCGATTAAGTACGACGATGATCTACGTTTCACGGTACATTAGAATAAGGTTGGATTTGAAAAGGAAAATAGGTGTAGCTGACGGTTATGTTGTGAAACTAGTTTGTTATGAATTTTGTTGATCTTGTTAGACCTATACTGATATGTGGAAATCACTACAAGGGAGTAAGATTCGGATTACCTTGTTGATCGAATATCTCAAAGCAAAAACATTGTTTGAGATTCGAATCACTCCACAAGCAAGATCGATCATGTCTAGCTTGAATAAGATTCGGATACCTTGTTGATCGAATATCTCAAGGCAAAAACATTGTTTGAGATTCGAATCATTTCACAAGCAAGATCGATCATGTCTAGCTTGAATAAGATTCGGATTACCTTGTTGATCGAATATCTCAAGGCAAAAACATTGTTTGAGATTCGAATCACTTCACAAGCAAGATCGAAA